TGATATAATTATTATTATTATTATGATTATGATTATGATTATGATTATGATTATGATTATTATTATTTATTATTATTATTATTAATAATAATAATAATAATAATCTGACTAGACTAAATTAAATTTTGAGTTCCCTTGTCATGGTAAAATTGAAGGACATTTTAAATTAGTACAACTCCTGGTTGTAAATGCTTGATAAAGTATAACAAAGCTGTAATCATATATAATATTTACATTACGCACATTAACATGTCTTACAATATGTTTTACAGCATTTGTGTGTACAACTGTTTGTATGTACAAATCATTCACACAGAGCCTTAAAACCGTAAAGTTCAAAATTCACAAAGACATATCATTACATAAGATTACAGCTATGTCGTATTATGTTATCAAGCATAATATTATCTTTATAGATTTGTTATGGATTCTTCATATGGGGAGTTATAGTTGTTGACAGCTAGTAAATGCTGAATAGGGGGTGTTAAAGTGAAGAGTGACTTTATAAGTGTGACATGGCACTGGTCACCAGAATCATTAGGAATATTCATCTAGGGACTGACAATATTCACAGTAATCTGGCCACTATTTGTCAAAATAGTTTCTCTGAGCCAAAGTGTTGTGGGGGGAGACTTCCCGTCCCGCTTAATCCAGAACAGAATGATCAATAAGTTAAACAGATTTGTCACAGCCATGGCTAGTATGATGCAGATGTTACATGTAATCCTATAACTGTATTTTACATAAAGACAAGTTTCTATCTGACCTCTGACACCGTTCTGACAGTGCAAGCTCAGCGTCGCAGCAAGGAGCACTCCCGCTCCACCAGCGCCCTGAGCGGCATGGCTGATGAAAAGTCTGAGGTGTCCCAAGACGCTGACCACCACATGTCCAGCTACAGCAATGGATTCATGACTTCCTCTATGGGTAATGATCCACAATCACCACCACAAACACAGAATATTGTATCGTGTTATATTGTGTATTATATCATATGTTACCAAACACCACAGATCAGGTGTGTGGGGTTTCTAGCGTCACTCTATTGAGCTCAGACTGTGGTTTATCTGTGTTTTCATCTGCAGGTTACCAGCATGCTAAGACTGTGGAGCTGCAGCAGAGGTCATCATCAGTGGCCACCCAGCAGACCACCGTCTCCTCCATCCCCTCACACCCCTCTACCACCGGGGTTAGTAACAGACATTCAGTTCACACACACTGCACAATCCAGCACAGAAAGCTTAAAGAGTAACATAACTGCCCCCCTCCAGTGGTTCAACTAAGATACATCAGACTTTGGATTCACACAGAAAATACTAAGAAGAATTAGAAGGACCAATTCCTTACGGGTTTTGGTCTTTTGATGGGATTTACATAACAAGAATATACAATATCACTCGCACCCATATAGTTCACACACACTGACTTCTTTTCTGTATTCTCTGCAGAAAACTGTGCGTGCCATGTACGACTACGCCGCAGCCGACAACGATGAGGTGTCCTTCAAGGACGGCGACGTCATCGTCAACGTGCAGTCCATTGACGAGGGGTGGATGTACGGTACTGTGCAGCGCACCGGCAAGACCGGCATGCTGCCAGCCAACTATGTTGAAGCAGTTTAAAGACAAAACCCGCCCATCATCCCTCCAGAGTGGGCGAGACACATCCACAGGGCAAACTGATTGGTCTTCCTGTGATCACAACGTGGCTTAGTGCAATGTGTAGCTTTTAGTGTCTTGTAGCTCTGTGACTGTATTTTAACTGTTGTTGGTAAGTCTGTTATCATTCATATGCTGCTGCCCCTGTTGCCTGTGGATGTGAAATAAGCATCATGTGACACATATAAATATTTCTGATTATACATACTATGCCTGCAATGAATGACAGACTATTTTAGATTGTTTAAACTGTTCTAAGACACTGTCTTGGAAAAGCAAGACTCACTAACATAAGTCCTGGCCCATTATATTGTAAATTTTAAAATGCAAAAACATTTTCTGTCCGAGTTGTACTGAGAGTATTTTCTCATGAACACAATGGGCTCAAATAGTTCCAATTATTCCTTTAATGGAAATTCTATGGAGAGACAAAGATATGATTAAAATAATGAAACTTCTACAGAAAGGAGTTAGTTACCATCTACCTCCTCCACAATGAATCCACTCCTGAAGGGTTGTATGAGACAAGCCTCAGTCTTCCCTCCTTTATACTGAAGGCTGGCCACTAGTAGAATGTGTGTTTTGTTTCTTCCGATGATTAAGGAATAAGGCACGTCCTCTACCTTTAATCAGTAGCTAATAAAGCACACCAAGTTCCTGCAGCACTCTGCCTCTTCTTTTCATTCTGACCTTGGGCATCTTCTTCCACACATTTTATTCACAGTTTCTCTCTCAGTGGTCTTTATGTGGTAGCTGCTGAATGGGTTTTATACTGTAGTGCATTTGCAGAATAATAACAAGGAGAGAGAGACAAAGAGAGCAGCGGTGGTCGAGTGTAACGCTAGAAGACAAAAGCGAAGTGAGGTCTATATTCAATGTCTTTTATTCAAAGGACGATTCCAACAGTGTTGTCTTTTTTCTGCTTTCTGCAACCATTTCAGATCACTGTAGATTATTTTCCAGTAATTTGAAAAAGTTTAAAAATATATTCATTTGGAGGTGCGTGCAGGTGAAAACATTTAATATTAAAGAAACAGAAGTTATAAAATCAATAAAAAAAAGAACACTGAATGCATGCTTGTCCTTAATGCTGCACCGTAAAGGATTATTGGTACAACTTTCCAATCGGGCAGCCTTCATAAAGGCTTTCAAACTGTAAGTTATAATTAACTAAATGATCAGTGCTTTATCATTTACGTGCGCTTTATAGATAAGTCAGAAGCCATTAATGGGAAGACATTTTGGGTTGTCAGGTTGTGAACATCTCTCAGGACTCGTTTGTCTTTTTAGCTCTTTAGTTCATCACTCCAATGGACTGTTTGACCTCTCAAGACTTGTTATAAATCCTTTATTATCAACTTTATTTTACATTTCTAATTACAAGGTTAGGGTTACTTACTAACTTTAGCTGTTGGCTTAATATACAATGAGAAATGTAAATTAAAAGTGAGAAAAACCCTAATTATTAATTACTTACTTATATAACTGTATGTAATAGTCTGTTGTATAACAGACCTTATTGCCTTATTAGAAAGCGAGAGACCCGTTACCAATTATTTATTACACTGTTAATGACAATGAATGCTTCATCAAAGATGTTTCACACCCTGCCAACCCAATCAATGGCTTATAACTGGTCTATAAAAACTCAGTAAATTATTTATTAACCTTTAATAAAGTAATTAGTTACAACTTATAAATACTAATATAAAAAGGTGCCTTATTAGAAAGTGGACATTATTTGTCCACAACACAGTTTAACTGCAGGCATCCACATGGTGACATAAGAAGGCAATAATTTCAATTTCTTCAGGCCCGTAGCATAAAATGACCATGTCTCTGATGGTGCTGGCTGACACCAGTGAGTCAGCTGTTACATGGTCTGCTGCTCAGATTCAGAGCTTGGCTCAAAATGTTTTAAGAAAAAAAAACTCCACTCTGTCAGTTACAGGCCAAAGTAGGTCAGGGAGTCACAAAAAAGAAGTCGTGCCAGTGTGGTTGAAATGCCTACAGTCATATTCTATTGATATATAAAAGTCACAGATAACTTTAAGGCTCTGTAGCTTCCTGCTGTCACATTAAGTTGAGTGATACTGATATTGTGGTTTTTCCTCATGAGACAGTCGGCTTGTGTCGAGCGTCAAGAGTCATCTGAGTCACCTGGTCCCTTGGTGCAGAGTGAGCAAACCTGCCCGCTGGTGATACTGCTTCTCCTTGGCCACTGCGATTTTGGCAGACAGATCCACCGACTTCTCGAAGAAGTTCACCAGCGCCTGTTCGGTCAGCAGGGACGCCAGGATCTGAGCGTAGCTGATTGTCCACTCACTCTCTGCCGCCGAACTCCCGTCGCCTCTGCTGGCATCTTCAGCCGTCTCCTTTGCAGTGTCTGCTCCTCTCGCCTCCTCTTGGCTGGTGACCTCTGACCCCGGTCTGTTTCCGCGGTGGCTAGCCTCGCCAATCTGCAGCACAAGACTCGTTACCGTAGCGATGGCCTGGAAGAGGTCGTTCTCCTCTGAGTCGCCGTGGAACATGCTGTAGAGGGTTTTACAGAACTGGATGAACTCGCGCTGTGGAGGGAGAGATGAAGGTGTTCAATCACATGATACTTTTACTAAGGAACTGATTAATGCTGAAACAATTGGCACACATTTTAATAGATTGATAGAACATTACTCAACCATTTCCATCAAACTTTAATCAAAATATCCAAAAAGTGATTTTTCAAGCAAAGATTTGGAACATTTCTCTGGTTTTAACTTTTCCAATATAACAATTTGCAACTTTTCCTCTTTCAACATTCATTATCAATGTAAAGTCATTATCTTTGTCACATAAAACAAGTAATTTAAAGATGTTCCCTTGGATCTCTTTGTGATGGGCATTTTAACACATTTTTGTGTTTTCAGTCTGGACTGAATGCCGTAGTTTGACGACATACATTTTTGTTGTCTTTTCTGTTTTCATACTTCCACTAAGAGGCACCAATGCCAGAAATATCTACACTCTGTATATAGTAGATTCTATACACTTAATTTGACCAACAAAAGCCATGAATATCACAGTTAAACTTTCATGTTCAAGAAAAAAATCTGCACACTCTTCCTAGACAATAGAAGTGAAATAAGGTTTGCACCACTAAAGGACGAGGTTTTGGGTACAGTACAACACTGGTACAGCGTGCTCCCAGTACCTGGTTCATGAGCGGCAGAGGCTTCTCCACGTCTTTCTCCTTCTCTCTGGCCAGATCCTTCAGCATCTGCTTCAGCTGCTCCTGGTAATCTTTCACTTCACCTTGACCATCTGGATCAGCTGTTGGCACACAGAGTCACATTTTAATCAGCCAGACACAAAGAACCTCTGAAACACGAACTGTACATTTATATCAACCTTGCAAAGCACATTGTACGTTGCTCTGTGTGCTGGTCTTTAGCTGTAGTGTTGTGTCTGGCTAATAAATCAACAGCTGGTGAATGGTGGTGTGTTTGCACTGACCGGTGGGTAGATTCACATAGAGGGGTCTGTTTGTGGACACCAGGGGGCTTTTCATCAGAGAGGGGTCATCTTCACTTTCTGTCAGAGCTGCAGACACACACACACACACACGCACACAGTTAATCAATCACTTACAGCCCTAGAGTTTGAAACTCGACTTTGCCTTTCATGGTTTTAGCAGACTGACTAACCTGGTGGGATGTGCAGACGGTACAGCAACCTTATCTTCTCATTCAGCTCTTCACAGTACAAAGTGTCTGAGAGGGAGAGAAAGAACAGAGGCTTAGAAGATGTGAAGATGTGGAATATCCACACCATAACACAGACACAGGGAAGGTTGATGTTCCTCACAGCATTTAGTAAATTAAATGGTTTATATATTTGATCCAGTGACACATTTGCAGCTTGTATAAAATGTATGATATAAGGTGCTTCACTTCTATGTGAGAAAAGCACAGAAGTGAAGCACCTTATATCATACATTTGTTCCTTTACTGTTTAAAGGTTCGGTTCACCCAAAATAAAAACAGATGTTTCCACATACCCCTAGAGGTTTCTAGTCAAGTAATAACTTAATGACGATGACTAGAAATGAGGTTTGAGTATTAAGGAGCGAGAAGAGAACAGCGCAGTGATAACAGAGGCAAAGGTTTTACAATTTTGGACCTGGGATCAATACAAGCCGCTTGTTAGTGGAGAAACCCTACAAATACTTGTTTATAAGACACTGTGAGGAGTCTTAATCTGCCTTGATTCTTCCTGTCTGTCTGCCCTCCCTTTGCGTACCCAGCCAGAAGGCAAACTCTTTAAAGGTGACCAAGTTGCTGCAGTCCTGGTCCAGCAGGGTGAAGGTGCGGTTGGCCAGCGTGTCGGTGTGCTGGTTCGGGCCACCGGGCCACGGCACCAGCAGCCCAAACAGGCTCTTGAACTGGGGCCGGTCCAGCCGGTACTGCCGCTCCATGTAGGAGCCAGAGTCACTGTAACGCCACGCTGCCGCCTCCGCCGCCGCTGCAGAGCTGCTGTCGCCCCAGTACAGACTGATGAAGTGCTCCGTCTGGAGGGAGGTGAGGAGAAAGTTGTAATAGATCACGTTGTTGATAAAGGGAGATGGCTCATGGCAAGAGGGATGAGAAGATACCTTGAAGAGGTCGTAGACATCAGCCAGGTTCTCTGGAGAGATGGAAACGTCTGGAGTCACCACTCTCAGCTGCACACACACACACACACACACACACACACAGAGGGGAGAGATGGAGGCTTTTCATTAGTTTTAGAGTCAGACTGTACAGAGATTGTGTGTAACTCTTCATCTGCTCACAGCGTTTTCTTTGGTGGTGTCCTCGTGAGCCTGCAGCACTTGGATTCTGTGTCGACAGCGAAGCCTCTCGATCTGCCTCACCGTCAGGTCTCCGAATTTCTGACACAAAGAAACAGAAACAGCAGAGAGTTAATGGAACTTCAGTGCAAAAGCCTCTACGATTGATGGAGATTGCATCTGAGTAAAGGGTCAGTGCTTTAAAAAAAATACAAATCATTTGCTATAAAATATAAAACTGTAAACATCACAACATAAAATGTGCAAAAGGATGAATTCAATCAGTCTCAACTATCATATCTGTGTGCTTCTCACCTCGTAGGACTCATTAATGAGGTCGGTGATGTTTGTGTGCCGCACAGCGGGAATATCTGTGTCGCTGCTGCTGCTGGTCTCCAACGCAGGGGGCTGCGAGGATGGAACACAAGACGAAGCTTCACTTCCGACCTGGTCCAGAAAACTGCAAAGCAGGGTGTTCACATTCTGTCATTCCTAATCTTGAAAATGTAACAGTTAAAATCGAGAATTTTCAAAACTTTCCAGAATTTGTACGAATCCTGGTTGCTGCACAGCTGTTGGACTGAAATCCCCCATGAATGACACAAACCATTGTTGTTTCTACCTACCGGTATTTTATTTAAGCAAGGGTTTTAGTTATCGACAGCACGGTTTAGATACTATTAAGATGCAGTCAATCAAATTTCAACACCAAATCAGAATCACAAATCTACCTTGTTAGAATCATAAGTGCCTGTCCATCGTCTGTGCTGGCAGAGAGCTGCACAGCGTTGGCGTCCAGCGCCGCCAAGCCCAACTGGAAGATGGCTTTTATCCCATGGAAGAAGAAGCAGTCAA